TCAGTATCCAGAGGGCCCCAGGTCGTCTCACTGTGGGTCTTTGAATTTGGAGGACCCAATTTTTCAAAATTATTTGTATGTTCTAGATAGTAGGCCCTTGTTGGAGGGACAATTGGTTACAATTTTTCCAAGTTTGTGGGTTTCTTTTCACTCTGTTAGAGGTTTGCTTTGAAGTGCAGAAACTTTTCAAAAAGATGAGATCCCAGTTGTTGATTCTTTGAAGTATTTCCTGTGCTGTTTGGTTTCTGTTCATGAACTGTCTTCCTCCTCCTATATCGTTAAACTTTTCAATATTTTTTCTTCCAAAAAATTTAGTTTTTCTGTTGTGATCTTTAGATCTTTCATCCATTTTGACTTTAGTTTATTGCATGGCCATGGAAATAACCAACTCTTCAACTAGTTAATTCTTTGTACTGATTTCTTCATCTCAATTGTATTTATTTTCTCTAATCTTTATAATTTCATGCTTTCTATGGGCTTTAGGCTTGACTTGCTCTTGTTTTTATAGGAGTTTGAGTTGTAGCATAAGATTGTTTATTTGGAGAGGCTGGAGAGATGGCTTAGTAGAATAAGAGCTTGCCTGGTAAGCACAAGAGGCTGAGTTCAATCGACTGTTCTGGAAAAAAAGAAAGAAAGAAAGAAAGAAAGAAAGAAAGAAAGAAAGAAAGAAGATTGTTTATTTGGGTTCATTCTCTTTTCCTGATGCGAGAATTTTTTGGTATAAGTTTCCATCTTAAGGCAGATTTTATTGCATCCCACATTTCCAGTAAGTTGTATCTGCATTTTCATTAGATTGCAAATATTGTTTATTTTCTTTTTTAATTTCATACATGATCCATTGATTTTTCAGGAATTTATTTAGTTTCCATGTATTTGTAGAGTTTTTGCTGTTTCTTTTATCAATAATTTCTAGTTTCATTGTACTAAGATCAGATAATATGCGTGGGATAATTTTTATTCCTTTGCATTTACTTACGGATGTTCTATGTGTTAGCATATGATCTATTTTGGAGTATGTCCCATGTGCCGCTGAGAAAAATGTATATTCACGTGCTGTTGGGGGGAATACTGTGTAAAGGTCACACAAAGCCCATTTCATCACAAGTTTGGCTTAGTTCTGTTATTTCTTTGCTCGTTTTTTTTGCATGGTTGACCTATCTGCTTTTTGGCAATGGGGTTTTAAAATCCCCCAATACAATTATGTTATTGCTCATTAAACTTTTCCTGTCTATTAAAATTTGTCTTATATGGTTGGTGGTTCTACATTGGGTGCGTATATACTTGTAATTGTTATCGTTTCCTCTTGCAGTTTTATCCTAAGAAGTATGCGGTAACCTTCCTTGTCCCTTTTAATCACATTTGGTTTGAAGTTGACATTGTGAGCAACCAACTACTCCTGACTTTTTCTGAGTTTCTGTCACATGGAGTATTGTTTTCCATCATTTGAAATTCAGCCTATTAATTGAGTTAAATGTGTTTCTTGTATGCAGCACATCGTTGGGTTTTGTTTCTTCACTCCACCAGTCTGCTTCTTTTGATTGGTGAATTGAGAACATCTACATCAGTGATTATAACTGAAAAGTATTGGCCTATCTTTCTCATGGTGTTTTCCTACTGTAGTATCCCTACTTTTCCCCTTTGCATAATTGTTTGCTGTGCTTGATTTTTTTTTTTTTTTGCGGTACTGGGGATTCTGCTTGATTTTTTCCTTCTGTTTGTTTTGAACTTTTCATCTTTGTCTCTTTCTAAAATATTGTTTTCTTTCAGGACCTGAAATATCTCACTCTGAAATCTTCTTGATTTGATGGCTTGTGTTGAGAAATCTGCTTTGATTCTGATGGGCTTTCCATAATAGGTGATTTGTTTCTTCTCTCTAGAAATTTAATATTCTGTTCTTTTTCTCAATTTCTGGAATTTTGATTATGTGTCTGGGTGAAAGTTTAGTGGGATGATGGCTAGCTAGAGCTCTGTATGTCTCATTTAAGTGTTATCAGATTCTTTTTCCATGCTTGGGAAATTTTGTTCTAGTTCTTCTGCACAGAGTTTTATTTATATCATTTGTACTGATTCCAGCTGTTTTCTTTCCTTTTATTTGGTGGAATCGGGGATTGAACTCAGACCCTTGTGCTTGCCAGGGCAGCGCTTATTCTACTGAGCCATCTCCCTGGCCCCCAGCTGCTTTCTTCATATCTGTTAATCTTATATTATTTTTCTTTGCATCATCTTGCTGTTGTATTTTTAGCTCCTGGTTCTTTGTTATGTTTGCAGGATTCTTTCCTTTCGTGTTCACTAGCTGCAATGCTATCTTCAAGGTCTGAATTTCTATTTTCTGTTTAATTTGAGACATTTTGCCAGCTTTCAAAGGAATTCTTTATCCTGGATACCTATTTAAATCTATATCATGCTATATACTTCTTTTCTCTACTGCTCATTCAATGTTTCTATCATTTTCCTATTTCTTCCTACTTTTTAATCTATGTCTTCATTAAATATATCGAGCAATTCTTTCATGATTGTTGTCATTTCTCTTTTTATTTGGGAGAATATTCATAATCTGATTTACCCCATAGCCTGATAGAGTCGTTTCTTTTCTTCAGTTGTTATCATGTCAAATAGTTCAGGTATGTGAGTCTCAACTTCTTCTCTGACCTTGTGTCCTGGACTTGTTTTGCTTGGGCTACAGGTTTAACATTGCCTTTTGTTCCTTCCATTTATCATTTTATGAAGCTTCCAGTGTTTTCCCTTATTCTGAAATGAAGACAAAGGGGCAGTCTCTGGCTGAGTAAGGCTTTGAGGAGAGTGGGGGTACAGGGTATGCTCACCAAAGTTCCTGCTGTGTGGAATTCAATGTGGCTTCCACCTCATTCAGGAGAGGGGACAAGCTACAATTTAGGAAGGATATAATGATGACAAGTGCATGTCAAGGTTCTGCAAGGCTCTTGCTGGTGGCTCAGAACAGGATAGTGTTGCACAAGGCTTCCACAGGACCCCGTGGCTTTCTTCTAGACACCTGGTTTCAGATACCTGTGACAGTCTCCCAGGAGATCTCAAAAGTCTCCCCAGTCCCACAGGTGTCCAGATCTCAGTGGTACTCCCGCAGAAGGCTTGGGGGGCCAGCTAATGCTGCTGAATCTTCTCAGGAGTCTTCACCATGAGGACAGGTGGCCTATCATACAGATTTTCTCCAAAGAGAACCAGAGGAAACCTAAATTACCTGTAGTACTTGCTGGAGTCTTTTCCTTGAATGTGGTTATAAATGCTTTACATATGAACTAAAATTGTGGATGATAAGGACTTCAAGCAAACTGATATACAACTTTAATTTCAAGACATATTTCACATACCCTTTCTGCTTTATGTAATTTTGCTTAAAAGCAAATTACCATATTGCTGTAATTGTAATTTCACTTTTAGAACATAATTGTACGTTCATACTAGTTCTCAGACATCAATACTAATCAGCTATTTCCAGTGCAGAGATAGCTCTGTCTCTGTAGGTTGTTTCACCATCCACAGCACAGCCAGAGCTCCTTTGGAATACTGTGACATATGGATTTCTTCTAGAGAGATTACTGTATATTTTCTAGATTGTTAGTTATTGGCAGTGGGTCCACGTAGAAATGTGGACCACACATGGACACATGACACTGAATTTCACGGAGAAGAGAGTCACTCCAGGATTTGACCTGGAGATGCTTCACTCTGACTAAATATTCTCAGCTCTGTCTGATCTGTACTCTGGTAAAATATATTCTGATACAAGAGGAATTGTCTCTGAATTCACATGGGACTAGCAGTCCAAATTGTGGCTCAGAGAAGCCCAGATTTGTGAGCAAATGAGTTTTTAGAAATTAAAATTGCAGTTGGTACTCATGAAAAGCTACACGATTTAAGTCGCCATACTATGCATAGCAAGGTAGAATTTTTGTGTGTCTCCATATTAATAAAAAGAATTAAAGACAAGAATGTTTGTGTAAGTATATATGTACTCTTCTCTTACCCCATCATTAGTAAGTACTCTGGTGGACTCAGTATTTACCTGCATATCACAGGGGCAGACTACCTTGATGTGCTGTGGTCTAGAAAAGAGTCTTCAATCCAGGCCCATGCCCAGTAGGTAAATAGTGTGCACTACTAGATGGTGCTACTTTGGTTAGTGATTCAAAAGCTATTCTTCCTATACATTTATTAATAAATGAAAATATCAACAAAGTATGACAAAATTATTGTGCATATAATTTATACTATGCAATGTATATTCATATCTAATTATACATAACAAGATAAGGCTATATAGATTTCAATGTCACCATAACAGGAGATGATTGTGCAAGGATAAATGATAACATGTAGCCACTCAAGGATGGATAATCTCATTACTGCACTGATAAGTATAATATGGTAATAAGTTCTTCCACAAAATATTGTATATTTTCAATGCTAGTCTTCTTAGACTGAGAAGACTTGTTACAGAACATGAAGAGGCAATTTGCTAAAAGTGATTCTCTAGAAAAACTCTGCAAAAGTTGCCCCAGTAAGAAAAAGTTGCCTCAGTGATACAGCAGAAGGCATGTTCAAGAAGTAAATATACACAACCTAATATTAAAAATAATATTAGAAGTAATGTTTGAAAGTGTGATATATTCAAAGAGGCAAAAACCCTCGGAAAATGCATTAGGAGGTGCAGAATTACAGATAGGTAGACAAAAAGGTTTTAAAATAGGTGAAAATACTTGAAAACTCAATAAGAATACAATAAAAAGTCAATAACATGAAAATTGACCAAAGATTGATTTCATATTTAATGGAATAAATATGTCCAGACTAAAACTCAAATTAAAATCATGGTTATTAGTTTTTCATGATTTGAACACAATTAGAGAAAAAACAGTAACTTGCCATTGAAGTATATCATGAACAGCAATATCTTACTAGAAAATTAGTGAACAGAAGTCTGAAAAACACTATGTACTGTACTTTAGGAAAAGCATATTTTTAATTTAATAATGTTTCCTTTTCCTACAATGTGTTTTATCTCTGAATCCATGCAGAGGATTCCTAGCTGGTCTTAACAAAATAATATAGCACTTAGGGGCAAAGATGCATGCCAGCAACCCTGCACTGGAGGCCAAGATGGAGAAGACCTCCATGGACACCATGACCTTCCCCTTGGTGCTGTGGTACACGGGCAGGAAGGTGACCCACACGCTGCAGAACACCAGCATGCTGAACGTCAGGAACTTGGCTTCATTGAATGTGTCAGGCAAATTCCTGGCCAGGAAAGCCACAGTGAAGCTCACCAAGGCCAAGGAGCCCAGATATCCCAGGACACAGTAGAAGGCAGTGAGGGATCCCTTGTTGCACACAATGATGATGTGACCATGTTCGGAGTGTGCATCTGTGTCAATGTAGGGTGGACTTGTCCCCATCCAGACTCCACAGAGAGTGAGTTGGATTATGCAACAAATGGGGATGACATAGTTTGGTGCCCCTGACACCAGAAACTGTCTCATTCTTCTTCCTGGAGCAGTGACCTTGAAGGCCAGCACCACAGTAATGGTTTTGGCCAAGACAGTGGAAACAGCCACAGTAAACACGACTCCAAATGTGGTCTGCTGCAGGATGCAGGTGGCTCTGTTGGGACGGCCAATGAAGAGCAAGGAGCAGAGGAAACATAAAGTGATAGAAATGAGCAGGGTGTAGCTGAGAGTCCTGTTGTTGGCCTTGACAATGGGCGTGTCTCGGTGCTTCACAAAGAGCCCAAGAACAGCAGCTGTGAGAACAGTGAAGCTCAGTGCTGATCCAGCCAGAACCTTTCCCAGGGGGTCTTCATAAGCCAGAAAAGTCACTGATTTTTGCACGCAGTGATTTCTCTCATCGTTGGCATACTGATGGTCTGCACATTTCAGACATTTATCCATATCTAATGAGAAAAATAAATTTTCATTAGCCTATATTGAGTTTTCCTGATATCCACAAATTCCATACAAAAAGGTTGCTTTCCAGAATTTCTGCCAACTTCTGGGAACCCTCAGACCCACTCCTAGCCCAAGTCCGGTGAGTGTGGGGAGAGCTTCCTGCTACCCTGCGCCGGTGGGACCAGTACCAAACCAGGCGCAGCGTGGGCCGGACCCTCTCCCACCCCCTCGGGCCGAACCCACCACTATGCAGTACCTCCCCACCCCGCCCGCCTAGTAGGGATATCTGCCCACTTCTGGGAACCCCCAGACCCAGTTCTAGCCCAGGTCCGGTGAGTGTGTGGAGAGCTTCCTGCTACCTTGTGCCTGCGGGACCTGTCCCAGCCCAGGCACAGCATGGGCCGGAACCTCTCCCACCCCCTCGGGCTGCGCCCAATCACTCCGCAGCACCTCCCCACGCCGCCTGCCGAGTAGGAATTTTGCGGTGTTCTGGAAATCCCAGGACCCAGACTTAGCCCAGGTCCAATGAGTGTGTGGGAGAGTTTCCTCTTCCCCCTACTTCACCTTGCCCCCTCCAGGCACAGCTCAGGTCTGGCATACATGCCTGAGGTGTAACCCTGCAGCTGCAATCCCTGCAGAGAGTGAAGAGGATAGTTCCACACAGCTAGTCCAGGAGCAGAACATATTGCCACAGGGGCACAACATATTCACCCACAAGGGCAGCAGTGGGAAGGAGCTGAGCACAGCAGCCAGACCTAAGCAAGATGCAGCTGGATAAATCCAAACTTTGTAGAGCTGCTCCTGAACTTCAGTAGGTGTGAAGGTTATAACTACACCAAAGATCTACAACAAAGGTCAGAAGACAGTGCTACACAAAATGATGAGAAGGAACAAAATGCAACCTCAGAACCCAA